TTTTTGCCTCTGCTGCAGCAACAGCTGTAGACTTAGAGGAGATGACTGAGGTCATAAAAATATAGATACAGGAACATGTAGTGTGACTATGAAGAATTCTTGTGCACGTTCATTGTGTCAGTTTTTATTAATATAATCTGAATGTATAATAAAGAATATATATATATAGGAAATCCTCCTGTGTTCTTGAGTCTGTACTCTTGAATATGTTTCTCATGACCTACAATCTTGGTCTCTGTCTCTCTTATTCTGCCGCTCTCCCTTTCTATCTCCGTGGCTACTGTTCAGAATTCCACTTGCATGTCAACCAAAACAAGTGGCTGACGGAATAAGTACAAGTGGCTAATTGCTCTGCTTCTCATCCTTATCCCCATTCCAGTTAGATTCAGCTTCAGAGGATAATGTTTTCTGACTTTATCCACCAAGTCCAGTGCCCTTGACGTCTGTGACTCCCAGGGCTTTGCCCGCGGGATTCAGGTAGGAGAAGGAGAAGACTTACTACTGGGGTGTAAATGCTGGGCTCTGTGTGTGCACTTGTAGCAGAAGCAGCCATTCTGGGTACAGAAGAGAGCAGCCAGATGACATTTTTATTTATTTTTTTCAATAAGTTTGAGTTCTAAAAAGTTGGTATTTAAACCCAATGACTGAACATTCAAGTTTACATTAAGAATTGAGGCTTAAATCATGTAAGTATTATTTGTCAGTGACATACACAAGGCACCTAAAAGTTCCATCCAGAACTACTCGTTTCATTAGTGATACCGAATCGATAGAGTCCACATGAAGCAGACCTGTTGACACTGGCTTAATTCCTACGTTGCCTGGATAATACCAGCCAGCCGACTACAGGAACCATATGAAATCCAACACGTCCCTCTACCGCTTGTCTGCCCCTCACCCCACCCCACCACTTCTTTCCTAGCATAGAGTGTGAGCTTTTAGTCCTGGGCACTTGTGTGCCTGTGCGCGCTGACAGTAAAGCATCGCTTCTTCACAGCTGTTGTTGCGTTGTGCGGGCCTCCGCAGACGCAGATGCAGACCCAGCTCATGCAGTCAAGGGCTGTGCTCTCAGGGTCCTGGAGTGACTCACAGAGCTCACGGTCAGGCCAGGGGTTACAATACTGTCAAGGTTTTCCCTCCCTACGCTTATTCTTTGTTTCTGCCTAAGCACTGGCTATTTCTCACTGCAGACTGACTTTCTCCACGGGGTGAAAAACATACCACACGTGGTGCCGGAGTTGGGCATTTTATAGCTTCAGCCTCTAGAGAGAGGTCCCTGGTCTAAATCCTGGTGTCCAAGGAGAGGGATTCAGGCTTCCAAACTCTCATTGGGGTGGTGGGGTCGTGTGAGAACTGACAGCTCTGAGGGCTCATGGAGTGGATGTGGGGAAGAAGTGCCATTCCCCAAAGAAGAGGCTGGTGTCCACAGGTTTCCAGAAGACCAGGTATCTGCTGGTGTTCTTGTGCATTCCCGAGGATTTGCCATGAACCCGAATGTCTATTTTAAATCACTTGGCAGACTCAACTGTAGTCTTAGCTTTTTCTTCTTCCGGCTTCTTGTCAACTGCAAGCTTTAATTATAATTATTCTTCACCAGGCATGTTCTAGCACTTCTTACTCATTTGTCAAATTGAGCTTAACAAAATTAAAAAGTCCGGTGAGAGGCCCCGTGTTTAAGACAACAGAAGGCTGAACTGTCATTTTGTAATCCAAAATCTCTGCTGCCAAGGTTATGTTCAGCTCCTGCTTAACCTCTGTGTAGTCAGAAGCAGTAAGGCTGCTCTTCAGTGAGTATTTGGGAACACTGCACAGGTGAGAAAGTCAGTCTTTTTCTCATCTCCATCTAGGTGATAATTCTAATCCCAAGGGAAAGACAACTGGGCACTGGGCATTGACTTCCACACTTTGTGTTTTAAGACTTGAGTAAGTTTTCAACTGATAACTATCTAGGTATGTTATGAATTCCTTAAAAATAAAGTATATTTTGGTAGTATTTTCCTTGCTTTGGAGAACATTATTTCCCACAAGCTCTCGGAGTATGTCTCCAGCCCTGTCTTTTGCCAGAATTTAGGATTAAATGAGTAGACTATGCAGTCCAGCTAGGCCCCCAAATGATTGTCGTTTCCATGGAAACGGTGGAAGGCCTCTCAATTAAAACTGCCCCTGCAGGTTGGGGAGAGTAAAAGTATGAAAATGAGTTTGTCTGAGAAGCCAGATTTTCATGCTCCAAATTAAACCCAGAGAGGACAAACGATCCAGGAATCTGCTGCCAGTTGGGATTGTCCGTTTTGCCTTTTTGGGAGGGGCCCTTGGTACTGCAGGCTCAGGTGTATGTGCTAGCTGGCTGGCCCTCATCCAGGGAGCTCTTCGTCTACAGCCATGGACTCTGGAAGAGTGTTTGGGAACAATCTGATCTCTGCTCAGACTTGAGTGTGAATCACAAATAAAAAGCCTATTAAACATGGGTGAAGTCGGGGCCTGCCCCATGGCTTAGCGGTTAAGTGCATGCGCTCTGCTACTGGTGGCGAGAGTTCAGATCCCGGGCGCGCACTGATGCACCGCTTGTCGCCATGCTGAGGTGGCGTCCCACATACAGCAACTACAAGGATGTGCAGCTATGACATACAACTATCTACTGGGGCTTTGAAGAAAAAAAGGAGGAGGATTGGCAATAGATGTTAGCTCAGGGCCAGTCTTCCTCAGCAAAAAGAGGAGGATTGGCATAGGTGTTAGCTCAGGGCTGATCTTCCTCACAAAAAAAAAAAAAAATGGGTGAAATCATAGAATAGTCTTAAGGTTGGAAAGGACCTAAGGATCATCAAGTCCCAATTTCCCATCCAATTTGGGAATCCCTCCCAGAGCGCTGCTGATGGAGGGTCCCAGCTTTGGCCCCCTGCTGAGGGGAAGCCCACGTTTCCTGGGCAGCCTTGTCTGCTCCATTGCTGGAGAGCTGCTGGCGTTAGAAAGTTCTCTTTATGATGGAACTGACGTCTTTTCCTGTCATTTCCACCTCTGCTGCCTCCTCATTGTAGTGCCAAGTAAACTGAGTCTACTTCTCCCATAATTAAGTTAACTTTTAAAATTTTAAGTATATTATCATGTACGCTCAAAGTCCTCTCTTTGCCTGGCTGAGCAGGTCTAGAACATTAAGACTTTAAGTATTAACACCTGCGCTTACAGGCATTCTGCTGAAGAGGTTGATTTCCTTCCAACACTGGACCCTCACTGCTAGCACGTGGGTCCCCTCTGACTTCTCGGACAGTTGTTTTCTCAGCATCGTTTGTGTAGGTGGACAACTGGCTACAGTATTGTCATCTTTTCCTTTTTCCCCTGGGGTATTCATAGTTCAGAGGTTGGAAATCTAAGAAACACAGCATTGGATCAAACCATTGGTCTAAACAGCCTCATGAGGGGCGTGGTTGCCTCTTGTGATGTCACCTCAGAATTTAGTGAAAACACCCTACATTCCTAACTGCTTTCATAATCTCCCAACCCTTCATCTGTGACTTTATTTAAACCCTTTGCCTTTTTCATAGGGTTAAAGTTATGCATTTTAAGAGTCCTTTATTCCTCACATGTGTTCTATTATTAATATCCCTTATCGTTCTTAAGCTGATGCCCACCCACAACAGAAACAAAAACCTAACAAACAAAATACTCTTGTCCACATGTTCCTACAACCTTAAAATGGGTTAAAACTTAAAACTCCCATGTCGATTAGTGCTGTCTGGGAAGTGCTGGGAAGCAAGTACATGGCTTCTGCTTGGTGGGGAAAGAGTACTAAAGTGGACATTCTGTTCTGGTTCCAGAAAATCAATAGCTGTGTGACCTCTAGCAAGTTACCAAACCTCTCTGGGTTCCATTTTCCTCAAGTATAACATCAAATGAATACTTTCTGTTCTTGCAGATTGTTGGGAGTGCTTTGAAAACAAATTGTTTAATATTAAGACTTTACAGCAAGCTATACCATGATACTCTGGGGGTATTTTGAGAGTTCAAAACAAATTTAATAAGATAAGAAAATAAAATATTGATGATATTGGGTATGTAAGACTGACATATATCCACAGTTTCAAAATAATAGTAGCCGGCCTCTATAGGAATGAATAGTAAATATGTACCTTGCATTTTAGAAAAAAAAAATCTCGTAATTTCTAACTTGGGTTCTGGATGGCATTTGGTGTGATATCACACTTAAGGGAGAAAGGATTTCAGTAAAGAAGTGGCATTGTTTGTGGAGAAATGAAATTACTCTGGGTTCCTTTGGCAGGAGAATAAAAGGGTTGAAAGCCAGGGAGTAAGTAACCTTTGATTTGTAAATCATTTAAATCCCAGTTCTTAAGAAAAGGTAGTAAGGAAATACCCCTAATAACTCCATTTGGGACAGCCCTGGGCACAAACCCCACAAGTGGGCCTTGGGATCTGAGCCCAACAGGGTCTCCGGTGAAGCTCGGGGAGGGACGCTGAGGTGCGGTTTTTCCCTGGAAGACTTTAGGGGCTTGTGGCTGGACTGGCTGCTGTGTTGGCTCTCAGCATCCAGCTCTCGCCCTGTGTCCTGAGAAGTGCCCAGGGCCTGGAGCAGCCGGTGTCTGACATCTGTGTGGCCCGGGACTCACAGATGAGCCCTGTCCCTGGGAGTTGGGACATGTGTTTGTCTTTCACACCTGTTTTTCACTCAAGACCACTTATATTTGGGGACAGAGAAGGCAAAGGTAACATCCACATCTTCTCTGTATGGTGTCTAATGTCACTTTCTTGGGGTCATTTCTTTGCTTTATGTAGTTTTACTAAAAATAGGAACAGATCTAGACCTTAGAAAGAAAGTTGTTTTTGGTTCTTGTTTTATTTCTTTGCAGTGTCTCTTGAGTATTAATCACGCCTAATGATCAGATTACCTCTGAGGTTTTTCTTCCAGAGGGGAAGGACAACTGTAATAATCTTTTCCTGTTGGAAACTGACCCCGCACCCCGGTGCACTCTGTGTGTTCTCTCCGCTCCCAGGGGGTTCTGTCCAACATCTCTTCCATCACCGACCTTGGCGGCTTTGACCCGGTCTGGCTCTTCCTTGTGGTGGGAGGAGTGATGTTCATTCTGGGATTTGCAGGGTGCATTGGAGCTCTTCGGGAGAACACCTTCCTTCTCAAGTTCGTAAGTATCACACTCTGCACTCAGGTTGAAAGCCAGACTCCTGTCTTACAGCAGGAGGAACCTCCAGCTGTAGGCAAGAGTGAGCCACACCAAAGGCACCAGCGGAGACACGGCCCAGCGATGCCTCTCTTCTAGGAGAGCTCTCTAGCTTCTGCCCCCTCACACACACCCATGCCTCCTTGATAACATGAGTCCCACCCCGTGCCATCTGTGGAGGTTTTGTACGTGGATATCATGACTTTGTATTCCAATGCCTAAAATACCTTTAGGACTAAGGTAGGTCTATAGATAGAGTTTTCTTCTTTTAAGTGATTTTTGTGCCCTCTTTTAAGCACATCAGTAGAAGCTGTTCAGGTAGTTGGTTTAGAGAAACCAGACAAAGGTGCAGCAGCTGTGCTTACCAGATTAAATGTGGTAAGCGGTAGGTTTTGGTGACTATGGAGAAACAGTAAAAGGCAAATCTCCCTTGTTCTCTGCCAGTACAAAGTCTTCCTTTTGCATGACCAGCATAGGTTTTAGCTCCCTTGCAGGGTGTTACGTATGATCACTGTTAGCATGAGTATTTTTGGAGAAGGAGTTTTACCAGGGGGTAGATAAGTATTAAAAGTAAAAGCCTCTCCTTTGGAGATTCCTTCCAAAGGAGAACAAAATGGCGTCTGCTTACGTGTGTGTCTGAAAGAGGTTTGGTGAGTACAGCCAGTGCGGGTCAGCTCAACGTGCCTGTCAGCCGCGCTGGGCATTCTGGTGGGCGTCTGGCTCCCAGCCTCTACATAGCAGTGTCCACTCCCCTTTCCAAGAACAGAAAAAGGAGACTTTTTAAAAACCCACCTTCCTATGGTGAGGCTTGAAGAGAATGAGATTTCTAGAGAACAGTACTAATGTAATATCCTAGAATCATTCTCAGCCTTCGCTGACACAACATCATCGGGGGACATTTTCATTTAAAACCAGAGCTATGCCCAACAGCCATGCATGTGATTCTCTTCCCCAGCACGTCTGCCACATCGTCCTCGGGCGTCTCTTCTCGAATATCCCTATGAAGAGCAGACTCACTGCACACTCACTGTGCACACTGGGAGGCCCATTTCAGATTTGGACAGCTGGCTCAGACCACATCCTGGAGGCTTTTGAACCTGACAGTTCATATGCCTCCTGCTCACAGAGAAAACCGAGGAATGCTTGGTCCCGTGTACAGTTTAATGAGCAGTTGCTCTCTGTCCTGATACATAGGTCTATGGTGGGAGTAGCTTGTTTCCCAAGACTCTATTTGTCTTACACACACACACACACACACACACACTCACTCACTCCATTACTCACTCAGAGACTTACAGAGCCCCCAGGAGAGCTTTGTCCTTGATCCTGACCTGCCAACCTGCCAGTCTTCTTGGCATGACATCCTTCCAAGGGCTAGAGCTCACCTCACTCAGCTTCCCTGTAGCCTCATTGGGCCCCAGGTCATAGTTACCGGTTGCCACTGTTTTGTCTGGTTTAGCCTCCATGCCCCAAAATGTGGGATCCCCTTTAATATGATTTATTTGAATATAGTTTCATTTATAAGGGTAGGCCCTTTAATGTAGTTTATTATTTTTGTAGTTGAAGATACTAGAGTTAACTGAAAAGAAATATACACATTTCTCTATATCAGCACCTTAATTTATGAAGTGTCATGTTGGAAATGAAGAGAATTGTGTTGTTTCTTGGCTTTTTTAAATCTTGGAGAATATTTAAAATGGCTTCTCTCTCTATTTTGTACGAACAATAAAAACTGGCCCAGAATATTCTTTGAGCAGGAGCTGTGAAATAAGTAGGAAGTAAATGTCAGTGTGACTCCAGACAGCCTCAAGGATCCGATGCCATAAGGCAGGAGAATTGTTGAGGGGCAATCTGAGAGCTGAGATGCTGTGAAATGGAAATGGAGCTTCCTGGTTGACTGAGGCCTAGAAGGAGGCCTGTGCGTCAGCCTCTGCACCTTTGGAAATGGGGAGAATCAGCTCACAGGGCCCATGGCATGCAGATTTCTGCCAAATACTTGATAAGAATTTAATTTGGACTCAATTTTTGATATGTATATTATGTAACATTATGAGAAAATTTACCAAGGTGACTGGAAAATGAACTTGCCTAACCTTATGGAGGTGAGAACAAAACCTAATTAAAACCTTTGCATGCCTCTGTCTTGGTGCTCTGTGTGTGCACGCATGTGAGCGACGATCTCATTTCCATGGGATAATTGTCCTGTTTACATGTGTAGAGTGTGGTTGCTAATAAAGGGCGGGGGATTGTGTTATACTATGGGGTAGGCATTGCGTAAAAGTGATATGATTGTTTTTCTATCCTTTTTTCTAGATTGAGGAAAGCTTATTTTAGAATTATTGGTAGCACTGATGATAATTAAGAACTGTGTAGATTCTGTTTCTAGTGAACTCATCAAGGACAGGCAACCAGCAGCTCTATGGAACCTGAGGGGCTGAGCTGGAGGGTCTAGAATTGGGGCCTAAACCTTGGGGTCCTAGACTTTGCTGGGCACTTATTTCTTCTTTCCACCCCTCCCCTCATGCCCACACTCCCAGCAGTGCACTTGGCGTGCTGCATAAGCGCTGACATCTGTCAGATGATATACTGACATCTAATGTGAAATGGCCCCACTCCACTGTTCTCTCCTACAGCCACCTCCAAATCACACAAAACTGTGAGGTCTTTGGAGGCAGGAGTACGGTCTGACTCATCCTTGCTTCTGCAAAGCCCACCAGCCCAGGGCCTGATCTGTTCTGGGTGATTCAGTAGACGTTTGCTGAATGAATAAACATTTTTTGTCTTTCTTAATTTTAATCAGTATCTTGTAGTTTCCTTTGCATCCCTCCCCAGTACATTTTTCTCTTGGTTGGCTGCTTGGTGTCTGCTTGCTGAGGACAGAGACAGCAGACAGCTCCAGCCCCTCTGCCTCCTCAACCACTCACTGTACTGCCGCCCTCAGGAGCCCTGCCGAGCAGGTGTGGCCCCGTGTCTCTTTCTGTCCTTGACTCCTGAAGTTTGCCTGCAGTATACCCTCTGATCCTTCACAGACTCATTTCTCATAATCTGTTTGAGCAAAATAATTTGAAAAGGGTAAGACTGTGGGGGTGGTAGGAGGTGGAAAGAACTGTGGGCGTGAACAGTATATTGATATGACTAAGACGAGGCTCTTCTGTGTCTTCTAGATGGAAGGGAAATTTCCCCAGCTTTATGGGCAATTATAACATTACCCATGGTCTCTAGCTTCTTCTTGTCTACATTAGCCAGAAGTCTTCCTTTGGCTGCATGTTGATGTTACTTAAAATATGCCAAGACTGACGCTTCACAAAGAAAGGCCAGCACAGCCAGCATCCCGAGAAAGCCCTCAGCCCAGTGGCTTCACCTGCTTCAGGATGGGAAATTTTCTTCTTGGCACGGTCACCCCCCGCCTTCCTCTTTGAACTCTTCATCTGAGATGAGAACACATCTGCTATTTTACCCTGTAAAGCAGGTGCCAACAGGAATTAAAACAGTGTCTGAATCCAAAAAAAGAATATATTGCAAATACAGAATCAAGGCCACAGTAGTAAATGACAGGCGATCTTAAATATTGGGATAATTTATCTTTCAACATTACAAAAGCTCACTAGAAGTAGGGGCAGGTCATCATTCAAGCGTCTGGCAGTACATTAATCAGGAGAAATTCATTGTCTTAATGTGGGTCTAATGAGAAATTCGTGTCATCCATGTTTGCTTATGGGCTTTGTTGGTTAATTACTAAATGGAGCACCAGAGCCCCTGAAATGTGATTATGAAATGATTTTTAAAAATCCTTTTGTGGAGTGTAATATTCTATTAATGAATCTTAAGAAACTGAAGATTATCTGCTTTGGACATGTGTAACAACCCAATGTAATTACAAACCTTTTTAGAAGGAACCATTTAACTATGTAGGATCAAAATAGCCCTTATAACTGATCTCCGTGTATGTGTCTTTTGTCTTAGTTTTCTGTGTTCCTGGGAATTATTTTCTTCCTGGAGCTCACTGCCGGCGTTCTGGCATTTGTTTTCAAAGACTGGATCAAAGACCAGCTGTATTTCTTTATAAACAACAACATCAGAGCATACAGGGATGACATTGACTTGCAAAACCTCATAGACTTCACCCAGGAATATGTAAGTTTAAATTTGGTTTATTTTCAAGTTGAAAGCCTTCTCGGAAGGATGACCCGAATGAACACTCCTCCTGGCTTCTGCATCTGCCAGCTGGAACCTACTTCTGACTTTTCTGCATGGTTTTTTGTTTGCTTGCTTGTCCATTTATTATTTTCTGACTTGCTCTGTGACTTACATGATTTGTAACCTAAATGGAAATTCAGGATACAAGGACAATCCTATTGTCATTCATCTCAATTTCTACTAAGGTAGGGGTACAAAGAAGAAAATTCTTGAGAAAAAGGTTATAATCACAGTTGCCCTCTCCTATTGACATTTGAGGAATATTGTTTTGCTATGGGTTTAACATTTTATTTGATGTTAAATGTGGGTTCTTTCTTGTTCCTTGCCCTCTTTTTGGTCTTCCTCCACATTTCACAGCTCATAATAATATGCTAGCAATAGAATATTTGTCCACAAAGTTCCTAAAATAAGCCCATCTAAATACTATTATAGCACATGCAGTTAAAACCAAAAGTTGAAACTTCTGAGCCCTGGTGGTAACTGACAAGTGAAGGGTCTGCACAATGGAGCCCCCTCCCGCTCAGGTTTCTGAACAGCACTCTGTGACGGCCCCCGCAATGCAAACCACGTAGCACATGGCCTGGTCCACTCACAATGCAAGATGGCATAAACACGGGGTCACGGGGTCAGACGATAGAGATCTAGTGCCAAAATCTGATTAGCTCAGTCTTGTGCTAATAGGACCTTAACCTATTTCCCCAACAGTAAAATGGAAATAATAATAGCTACTGTTGAACTCATGGGGATATTATGACACTCTAATAAGATGTGCATGGTTTTATGTAAGGCTTAAGGAGTTATTGTCCTACAAACTGACACGTCTTTATTTGCATGCACTGAAAAATGGGGTAAGCAGAGCAGACCTGGACAGTGGTGTCCGTGACATTAATGTATATGGCAGGACTGGAGGGCATACAGAAGCCCCAGGGACCAACAACCATCCTTTCGTTGGACAGTTTTCCAGAATGAGTTGGGGTCCCCTTTGATAAAGGGAGGAGAGGGCTGGTCGGCCATCACCATGAGGCAGACCACTCCCAACCCTCCCTCACTAGGCACTCAGAAATGGGCTGGGTTGTCTTAGTCTCATTCATTGGCAGCAATGACCAACCTGGCGTAACCTGTACCTCAGGTGTGAAATTAAGCCCTGTTTCGTCTCCTCGGCAGACTTCACTGTTTTGTGAGGTCATAATGGATGCAGGCTCACACCTTGCCAAGTATTATTGCTGACTAGTTTGCATGACAAATCTGATGGAGCTTTGTAGGCAGACCTCCAGATGAACAACCCAAGCCTTCGGAGGACCAGATGAGTTGGAAGAACATGCGTAAACACGTTCTCTTGAAATGCTGTCTGCTTTATATGGAAATACTGTTATTTCATGTGATTTTATTTTTCTGTCATGGAATTTAATGTTTTGAAGTAGCTATTGGTCCTGAAAGCCTTAAAATGATCAAGGCTTGATGTTTCTTTAAGTCAGAGAAGTAGAGCTAGGCCAGCCCAGGGGAGTGACAGGGTGGGGGTCGGGGGCTTGTGGAGCAGCCCTTGAATCAGGCCCCCTTTAAGACCCACTGAATTTAGCAGCTCGTTTTATTATATTTTAATTAGGTGATTGAATTTTTTAAGTTGGAAATGTAAATATATGCTCTTGTTTAAAAAAAATTCAGAATAGAAGCAGATATTTAATGAAAAGCAAGCCTCTCAGACTTTTGGAGGTAATGGGTGTGTTTGCCATCTTGGTTGGGGTGATGGTTCCATGATGTATACATATGTCAAATCTTGTAATATTGTCCACTTTAAATAGGTGCAGTTTATTGTATGTCAGTTATACCTCAATAAAATGAATTTTTTAGAAAACCTTTAAGGTGTAGAGATCAAAATTTTAAAAAGGTTGGCCTCTAGATATCCTACCCACAACCCCAGTTACCTACTTCAGACGCTACCACTGTTTTAGTGTCTTGTTGATCCTTATGGAATGTTCCTACATGTGCCCAAGCCAAACAGATCTTGTTGTAACTGAGCCCTGCCGAACAACTCCGCTCTACCTGCCACCACGGGTCTCATCGATTGTTTAAATCACATGCCAACACATCCTTAGAAACCTTCGGCCTTAATTACTTTGGAAGCTTTTAAAGGGGCCCTTTAGGTTCAGTTTGGTTTAAAAACAAATCCTGAGACAGAAGAGACGATTCGAGCTGGCAGAAGCTGGTGTGGGTCGTTTGGCGGGTGTGAGCTTAGGCGTCCGGTCGCCTCCAAGTCGCGATGTGCTAATTCTCTCCTGTTTGCTCTAGTGGCAGTGCTGTGGGGCTTTTGGAGCTGATGATTGGAACCTAAATATTTACTTCAATTGCACAGATTCCAACGCAAGTCGAGAGCGATGCGGCGTGCCGTTCTCCTGCTGCACTAAAGACCCCGCGGTAAGTGAACGCCAGCGCGCTGTTGGCCTGCTCCGCGCAGCCTGCCGAGGGTGGGTGTGGGATGAGCAGAGTGATTTTTTTCTCTTGAAACCTCTTCTTACCCACTTATTCCTGATTGTAGCTCTTGTAGGGGTGTAGTGCTCAGATCTTCTCAGGAGGAGGAGTCATCGCTGACATTAATTTAGCAGTATGTGCTGGTTCCTATTCTAAGCCTTTCTGTGTGTTGGCTCGTTTAAGTTTGGAATAGTCCTACTGGCAGACAGCACCATTATCTTCCCTTTTCAGGTGCAGTCAGGGTCCGTGGCATTGAAGTAACTTGTCCAGGCTCACGTTGCTGGCACGCGGTGGAGCTGAGCTTCAGACCCAGGCAGCCCGCCTGTATGGCCCGTTGCTCCTTCTTCCTGAGAAGGATGGCTTGTCTGAGAGCTCTGCACGCTGGTTCAGGGTTAGCAACCCCCTTCTTCCTGACCTAGTTCTGGGGGTGGTATTAGCACTAGGAGAAGAGTTTGGGACTGCCATGTAGGGAAACCACAGCTGCCCCGACTCTCAGTTGGAATGACTGCAGTAACTGGTTTGTATTTTATTTAGAAAAAGAAAAAATGTAAAACCTGTTTATAAGCCACTGACTTTTACCATGAGTTTGATTGTATTTTGGGTCAAATCATGTGCCTGGTGTATAGAATGACTTAAAATGCCACTCCTCTGTTGTAAGTTAAAAGCCAGAATCGAGTGTTAGAACGAACGACAAATGTGAGGAGTTGGTCCTGCTTTTGTCCCTTCCAAACTCCAGGCTCGCTCTGGCCCATCAGTCCCCAGGGTCCTCCCCCAGACCTGCCCTTCCCCCCGTGGAGCAGAGCCAAGGGGGCATGAGGCGAGGGTGTGGGGCTCTTTAAGAGGGGCCCTGGTCTGGGGGTGGAAAAGCAGAACTTCCCTGCAGGCCGCCCGTCAAGCAGCCTGGGCTGTTACTCTTGGTCTGAAGGAGACTGAGACTCGGTAAGGACTGTGCTCCCTGCTTGGAGACCTCACCTCAGCAGGAGGGCTGACCTCTTCTGCTGGCTCGGTTCTCCCTCTCCTCTGAGGAGAGTGCCCGGCACAGAGCCCACGGTGCCCCCAGGCAGCCTTGCGCTGGCAGCAGATACACTCTGTGCTCTGTCTCCAGTTCCTGTCCTCTCCAAAGATTCTCAGAAGTCATCACAACTATAGGTCTCTGGGTAGAGATCTCTCATTCCATAGACGCTAAGCTAATAGAATCTGCCCAATAGCCTGCAGAGGGGAAAAATAAACCAACCTAAACCAGCAGAACCCACATTCTGATCAGGCCCTGTGGGATGTCAGGGCATCTGTCCGTGTAATATGTGGTCAGGGCGTTGTTTTGTTTTTAATTATTAAAGTGATGTGTCCTCATTGAAAAACCATTTAAATAATACAGGAGTATACAGATTGGGAAGTAGAAGTCCCCCAAAAAGAACATAAATGAGGATAGTCCTTGTGCCCTTTAACCATGGTTTTTGTCTATGTCTCCAGTTCCCCCAAACCCCATAAGCTTCTTGAGGTTGTCAACTTTGAATCTTGAGCCTCCCACATAATGGGCTTGCTATCCTTTCTGATACTTCCTGAGCCTCAGTTTTCCTCATTTGGAAAAGAGGACATATTTTAATATCTACTTCTGAGGATTGTTGTAATAATTATAAGGGATAACGTATAAAAATGTTTAACGTGGTCCCTGGGACAGCTACATGCCCAAGTACATATTTTACTACACACACTTAACCAGGGATCTTCTGCCAATTCCTAGGTGGCCTTTCTGTCCAAGGAGTGAATTTCGCTTTTCTGTTTTCTCTCTCACCAGGAAGATGTCATCAACACTCAGTGTGGCTATGATGCCAGGCAAAAACCAGTAAGTGGAATCTCATCTTGTCACTTAGCACAAAGGGTGTTGGAGCTTTTGAACTTGCATGGTGACGCTGTGCTCTCCTCTTCCCTTGTGAAGGAAGTTGATCAGCAGATTGTAATCTACACGAAAGGCTGTGTGCCCCAGTTTGAGAAGTGGTTGCAGGACAATTTAACCATCGTGGCTGGTATTTTCATAGGCATTGCATTGCTGCAGGTAAGACAAGGCTCCTCTATGGATGCTGTCACAGTGAGACGATGCCCTGGCAGAGCCCTTGCCAGGACAGGAGCTTTGCTTAATCACCTTAATGTCACAGTTTTTAAGACTCCATAGTTTGGAGGGCTGGGGAAAAGTCTTAAACTATTTGGTTTGTATTTTATTAAAGCTCTGATTTTAGACGCTGCTATCCTGGAGTACTTTAGGAAACCTTTTTTCCTTTTCAAGATGGAGAAGTTGATTGGGCCAGTAGTTGCCTGCTGGCATTCCAGTGTTTCCATGGGCTCAATTATACTGCATTGTGACAGCTGGGCCAGACAGGAAGGATCAGAAGTAGATCCCAGGGGCAAGGCTTTTTGGAGTTTCACAGATGTGCTGTGCCCCTTTCTCTCTCTGGACCACCTTGACAAAGTGCTAGTGAGGGAAGGGAGCACCCACTTTTCCTCCTGGGCAGTCCCAAGAGCTGGGGTTTTCATCTTATGGAGACGTGATACTTTTCTTGGAGGGTCACAAACGGGGCACAATGGTTGAAAGAAGTTAAAGAAGACCTAAATAAATGAAAAGCCATCCCGTACTCATGGATTGGAAGACTTAATATTGTTAAGCTGGCAATACCCCTCAAATTGATCTACAGATTCAATGCAATCCCTATCAAAATTCCAACTGCCTTTTTTTTTTTTAATGGATAAGCTGATCCTAAAATTCATATGGAAAAGCAAAGGACCCAGAATAGCAAAACAAACTTGAAAAAGAACAAAGTTTGGGGAATTCACACTTCTCAGTTTCAAACTTACTACAAAGCTACAGTAATCAAGAATAGTACATACCAGCATAAGATTGGACATATAGATCAGTGGAATAGAATTGAAAGTCCAGAGATAAACCCGTACATCAATGTTCAGTTGATTTTTGACAAGGGAACCAAGACCATTCAGTGGGGAAAGAATAGTCTTTTCAACAAATGGTACTGGACCAACTGGATATCTATACGCAAAAGAATGAATTTGGATCCCTGCCTCACACCATATACAAAAATTAACTCATAATAGATCAAACATCTAAATGTAAGAGCTAAAGCTATAAAACTCTTGGAAGAAAGTATAGGTGTGTATCTTTGTGACCTCGGATTAGGCAGTGTTTTCTTAGATATGACACCAAAGCACAAGCAACCAAAGAGAGTACGGTAATTGGACTTCATCAAAGTTAAAAACTTCTGTGCTGAAAATGATACTATCGAGAAAGTGAAAGCACAGCCCACAAAATGGGAGAAAATATTTGCAAACCATTATATCTAGTAAGGATCTAGTATCTAGAATATATAAAGAACAACTCAATAAAAAGACAAACCCAGTTTAAAGATAGGCAAAGGATCTGAATAGACATTTCTCCAAAGAAGGTACAAATAGCTAAGAGTTACATGAAAAGATGTTCAACATCATTAGTTGTTAGGGAAATTGTAATCAAAACCACAATGAGATCCACTTCACACACATTAGGATGGATATAATTAACAAGGAAGACAATAACAAGAGTTGGCAAGGATGTGGAGAAATTGGAACCCTCATACATTGCTGAAGGAAATGAAAATGATGTAGCCTCTTTGGAAAACAATTTGGCAGTTCCTCAGAAAGCTAAACAGAGTTACTATTTGACCCCACAAATACAAATTTACAGAGTTACAAATTTGACCCCTCTACTCCTAGGTATGTACTCAAAAGAATTGAAAACATATGTTCACCCAAAAACCTGTACACAGATGTTCATAGCAGCACTATTCCCAATAGCCAAAAAATGGAAACAATGCAAATGTCCATCAACTGATGAATGGATAAACAAAATGTGGTTTATCCATATAATGGAATATTATTCAAGCCATCAAAAGGATTGAACTACTGTTACAAGCTATCACAGGGATGAACCTTGAAAACATTTTGCTACTTGAAAGCAAACTGACACAAAAGGCCACATACTGTATGGTTCCATTTATATGAAATGTCCAGAATAGGCAAATCCATTGAGATGGAGAGGAGATTAGTGTTTGCAAGGGCTACAGGGATGGGAATGACTGCTAGTGGGTACAGAGTTTCTTTTTGGGGTAATGAAAATGTTCTGGAATTAGATAGAGGTGATAGTTGCACATCCTTGTGAATATAGTAAAAAACCACTGAATTATACATTTTAAAAGGATGCATTTTACAGTATGAATTATTTTTCAATTTAAAAAATCAAAGATAAGAGCAATGGGATTCATTGCCGAGGAAAAGCCTAATGAAGTTGAGAGTTTCCCTGTTTGACTCTCTTTTCCTTCCTTGCTCAGATTTTCGGGATATGCCTCGCCCAGAATTTGGTTAGTGATATTGAAGCTGTCAGGGCTAGCTGGTAGAGCCCCTGCAACGGCTGCTGCAAGACACTGGACAGACCCAGCCTCCCTGACCCTCCGGCGTGCCCAGCTGAATCCACGCTGCACAGACCCTAGTCGCAGAGGCATCCTGCAATCCCACCGGATGGAGCTGCCAAGAACTTGTTGTTTGGGGGGTAAAACTGGGAAATGCTGCTCACTGACAGAATTAAAAAAAACAAAAACAAAAACCAGTATGAAAGTTGTTGCGCCTGAATCTCTACTGTAGCCATGAATTATGGATGGTTGGATACTTACCAAAAAAGAGAAAGGGGAGGGAAGGGGGCCCAGATGTTCTTGAATTTGTGGAAAACAGTCTTGTTCTCTACTTGGGTAACCGGAGGGCTGGAGAGGCAGCTGTGCCCTCCATCACACCTTGAAGGGTCTGCCTTCTGCTCCATGGCTAAAGAAGTACATCTTTTCTAGAATGCAGCCCCTTAGCTGAGGCTGTGGGGTGTGGGCGTCCCTTCTCTGTACATTTCAAGGACCCGTCACAACTATCATCCCAAGAAGAAAGCAGCTTGTCCTTGGGTTCAGATTCTGTGGTGGCATTCAACAAGAATGGGTGGGCACGTTTGGTGTCTCCTGGAGTGTCTCCTCCTAAGAAGTTATGTTCTCCGTATGCGCTGAGCAAGGGCGTGGAGCACTTCATGATGCTGAATTTTAGCGGGACAGATCATTTTTCTAAGTAGGCTTGAGCTTTATCAGTGAAATCCGAGGAGAAAATGAGGTTAATGAGAGGTATTAATTAAATACCCCTCACCCCACCAAACTAGTTGTTGGACTCGTTGGAAACTCTGGAATACTCGGGTTTTGTTTTGTCTCCCAAAAGTGAAAGCTATGATACAGTTTCTCTTCAATTTTAAAGTGTTTTCTTACTCAGCTCGAATGTTACTTTTTTTTTGCATACTCTCCCTGCATGACCTGTGAATTTGAATCCACCAGCTCCTTTTCCTGCCATCTTTCCTGCGCACAGTTACAAGTGTTATTTGGTCAGCGTTTGTTTCCTGGGTTCACAGCAGTGTGGCGTGTCCTCCCGGGTGGGGAGGGACCAACTGTGCTGTCGCAGCTGCTTCCATGGACTCAACAGTCCCTTCAGCGCATCCTCGTCGTGGCCTTTCCTGCAGCCTCCCCTCTTTCTCTTCAAATGGAATTAAACCCGGTTTTGAAACAGTGTTGACACAATTAAACAGCTTCTCATGGGTTTTTCCCCTTCTGATTTTAGTTTGTTTTTATTAAAAAAAAAAAAAAAAACGAGTGCATGGCCCGAGCTCCTTCTGTTCTCCTAGTGCCGGCCCACCATCAGGATGCTAACAAAGCACAAGTACCCTGGAGGGGGGTGCACTGACGGGCAAGGTTCTGTGACACAAGGTGGGAGACCACTTCCAGGTGCTGCCACCCGCCCCTGACCCCACTCCAGGTGGGAGGGACAGGTTTTGCCCCCAGATTTTAATCCAACAGGTGTCTGCCAGGATGTCACTCTCCTGGGGAGCAGATATTAGTCTGTGGAACGCTGGGAAAACCACAGGCATATTTTACGGTGATGACACATTTGCCAACACATAACTGGGCAGTCAGCTAGCATACTTTGTGGAAATTTGGCAAGGTTTTCCATTTCAGCCCCATGTTGCATTGCTGTGGCTGATGAATGTGTCAGTCTGCTCAGAGAAAGAACAAAAATGCTTTGAAAATCTCCAGAGTCTGGGTGTGTGTATGACTCTGCCTGTGTGTATTTTTGCGTCTGTGTATAGTTAGAGATGTTCATTCCATATTCATGCTGTAAGATTATTTCATCTCTGCCCCCTCCCCAGTTGTCATGCTGTCATGTCATCCCAACATGGAGAAGACTTGAGCTCTCCGACTGGCACGCTTGTCTTTTTTGTTTGTTGCCTCATTCTCCAGTGAACTCCATCTGACCAGTTGATTCAGAATCAGGCCAGATTCCCACCCTTTGGGACATCCCGTGAAAGGCCAAACGGCAAGTCCAAGCGAGTTTTAAACCTCACTCAATCACCCTTTATTTTTTACACTTGAGAGTGGTTGTAATAAAGGCTGTCATTAATAAACTTGGTTCCTCCTTACATGGAGTTATGTCTTTATTCATTGCTTCCCTCCTGAAATTGCGAACTTCTTTACTCCAATGGCTCTCCAATTTGAGGGGCATCAGAGTCACCTGGAGGGCTTGTGGAAACACAGATGACTGTGTTGCCCCCTCCCCAGTGTTTCTCATTTGGTGGGTTTAGGGGGGCAGGCTTGAGAAGTACATTTCTGACAAGTTCCCAGGCGATGCTGTTGCTGCTGGTCTTGGAAGCGCACCCGGAGAAGCACTGCTCTGATCTGATCTCAAGAGGAAAGGGGAGAGGGAACATTCCATGGCAGGGGAGGGAAAGGTCCCTTTGTGCTGCTGGACACAGACTGAGGAGAGACAGGTAGAGCTGGGTATGTAGGAAATCTCTGGCCTGGAGGTCACTGTGTGCTGGTCACCATCACCTGGGGACCATGTAAAGTACAGGTCATCGGGCTTTGCCCCTAGCAATCCTGGAATGGGGAGCCAGAGCCTGTGTTTTCAAGCAGCTCTCATTGAAGATGTAATGCACAGTGAGACTGAGGATTCGTGGACCTAGGTAAATGTTGGTAATATTCACGACCTTTTTCTAAGAACATAATTTCTTAGAAAATTTCTTAGTAGTCCCTTAGAGCAGGAATCTTAAAAACCTATTTGAGAAATACCAACTTAAATGTCCTTTCATTGTGAATTCTCGCTGCAGAAGAAGACTTCTGTCTTGAAAAGTATTAAAGACTTTTCGAAGATCAAATGAGAACAAAATCTTAAGGTTCATCTAGTATTCTTGGACCATGACACTATGTTCCAAGGCTTGTTTGAGAAACATTTTGCCTCATTTCCCTGGATGTTTGAGACCAAAGTGTTATTTTGACTTTAAGGAAATGTATCAGTGGTAATTGGAGATAACCGCTCCCTGTTTCTTGAGCTTTCTTAGTCGGGCTGTAGGGTTCATCTACGTATGTGAGGTAATCGCCCCTCCTGCTCACAAGAAAGTCTAGGCCGACAGAAGAGAGAACTTACAGCTCAGCAGTAAAGGGATGCTTTGTCCATGAAACTCAGAACTGCGAGAAGTTTCTTCCACATTTAGAAGGTAGACCTTGGAGGATGATTATTAAATTTCTCTTTATCTCTATTGTTTGACCAGTTACCACAAACATTTTTGCTTCTGTGATTTAAAAATATCTAATACAGTTTAAAAAATAAACTCAGGAATTAAAAAGTAGGATTTCATGTCATGAAGCACTTGAAACACAAGTGCCTTGACTGTGTTTTCTTCCTTTTTCTTCTACCAAGGAATAAACCTCTGCTTGTTTCCGTGTTCTTCCTGCCGCAGCTCCCAGTCCCGTCCTCTTCAGGGGCTTCTGGAACGTGTCTCGGGCTTTTCCTTTCTATGCAGAATGTTTCCTCATTGTGCCCTGCGTCTGTGTGGGCAGGGGTGGAGTCACTGGGCCGTTTTGGGGAGCTCTCAGCCTGTCTCCGGCTGACTTGGACAGGAGCCCTGGGACGCTGCTGGGCTGAACAATGAGGAGCCGGAGTCTGGTGACCTGGCTGGCCCTCCGCAGCTCTGTTTCTTCCACGAAGCCCTCCTTCTCTAGGGAGATCCTGTGAGACCTCCAAGGAAGAACTGGAACCTCTCCATAAACACTGCCGGCGGGGTTTCGCGGCCAACACTCTCCAGTGAGGCCCTGGGGCTGTGTCTACGTGCTGCCCACACAGGCATGAGAAGCCTAGTCTTCCAACGAGAAGGAAAATGCAGCGTTTGCCTGGAAATACACGAGCTTTTGCCTCATCATGGCACCATGATAAAATCTATAGAAAATCCCTACAGGACAACAGACGAGGCAGATGTATCTGGGTGGGGGAAGGGAGCAGAGAAGAGCAGCCACTCTGAACAGGGACCAAAGCCATCTTCAGACTTGAGCCTTTTCTCTTTTTTTGGAGGAGTTTGCATCGAAGGTAGACTTTCTAAAATTAGTTTTTACGACTTTTTTAATTTGAGGAATTAAATACTGCTTCCTCTGGAGCGTTCATGCTGAGTGGTCTCTTGTAACCTTGGCACCAGTGGGAGGATGCCTGAGTTAGTCCTCTCCTGGTGTTGTTTAACCCAAACCAAACTCATCAGGACCTGCGCTGCCAGTGCAATGTATTCCTCCGCCTCTAGGAACTCCCAGCCAAAGGAAACCTAAAGGAAGAGGAGGTTCCTTCATGGGCTTTACACCGTGACAATATACTCCAAAAAGAAGAAGTAGCCGCAGACAACAGTGCTTCCCATGTTGTTGCTCTTCATTGACTGTGTAATCGCATTCTAGGCTGGAGAAAGCCAACTAGAAAGCTGCCTTTTTTTTTTTTTTTAATGAGGAAGATCAGCCCTGAGCTAACATCCATGCCAATCCTCCTCCCTTCCCGCCCCCTTTCTCCCCAAAGCCCCAGTAGATAGTTGTATGTCATAGTTGCACATCCTTCCAGTTGCTGTGTGTGGGACGCGGAGAAGCGGTGCGTCGGTGCGCGCCCGGGATCTGAACCCAGGCCGCCAGTAGTGGAGCACGCGCACCTAACTGCTAAGCCACGGGCAGGCCCAGAAAGCTGTTTTTTAAATCTGGAACGTACCACCACGTATTCGTGTTTGCTTTTGCAGGCAACTGGTTTGAACAGGAACGTTTTAGTGGCCCGCCCTCTAGTGGCAGTCATGTAGAACAACTCCTCACTGGAGTTGGAATGGTTACTCCAGGGATGGAACCGCTGTCTGCTCAGAGGTACCTGCGCTGTGGAGAAACTTGAGTGTAGGCAGCTGAGTGTTGCATGATTAGGGTGGGTAGGTGTTTTATTCCTTGTACACACTCCTGAAAATGACATCGTTCGTTTTGGTAAGTTTGGGAACAAGGATTTAGCTCCCTTCACCATCTGCGTCCCCAATCTCGCTGCCGGGACTTCATAGTGTCCTGCAGCAGAGGGCGTGCAGGTTAGGCGGGGCCCTGCCCTCCTGCCAAGACTCAGACCCGGTTTATAGAAGAGGTGGTGACAGTCTCAAACTGCTCATCTGCAGGCAGGAGGCACTGCCTCGTCAAGATGCCCCACGAGGGTGGGCGGAGGCGCGCGGACGGGCTCTGCTTTCCCTCCCTTTGTGGACGCCCACTCCCAACTGGAACTTGAGGGTCTGAGTGCCCCAAGGCCCTTAAGGAATACTTTATTACATTAAA